CTGATTTCTTTGAGTTCCAATACTTTTAACTACAACAAAATGTTTAGATAGATAATAAACAATAATAAAAATAAGTAGGTGCACACAACAAATCATAATTTGCTGAACTTGTGAAAATTTAGTAATAAAAAAATTAATTGGACATTGGTTTATATTTATTAGATAACAATATTTCCTTATTGATCAATGCTGTAGTAATACTACGTTTTACTTTTATAAACTGTGTATTGACTACTATAAAATACAATTTAATTGAAATAATTTTTTTTTTTATTATAATAAAATTGAAGATTCTACATTGATTATATAAATGTTTGCTGTCGATTCAAAATAATAAAACTACAATTTTTACTGTAGAAAAGGCTTGTTAAATAAATAAATAAATAAATAAACAAATACTATATAATAAATGATAATCCAATGAAATAATTTAAATTTTATTATATCAGAATCATTCAATGTAAGAGTTGCAATTCTAAATTCCAACGATTATGTCTTTTTTGTATAAAAATGTATCCACTGAAACTAATATTAAATTGTAAAATAAACGTCAACTCCGTCGATATTATTATTGATCAATTTAATTTTAATTTTTTCGGTTAAAACTAATTTTGATTATATAATAAGTAATGACCCGAATTTTCTTTCCAATTTTAAAACTGAATTAATTATAAAAGTATAAGTACAATGCATTCAATGTCATAATATTTGAAGCATGCATAATTAAGTATTAAAATTATATAATTTGTTTTGTATTATTTTATACTTAATTAATAAAATTTAAAATTACATAAAGATAAAGTTCGAAATATAATTATTATTAACAAGTGAACACTTTATATTATATACTATTTAAATTAATTAATTGCGATTAAATCGTAATCAATCATTTATTAATACTCTTTAAATGTATATATTATATACTTTTTGTTAATATAAATTGAGCTGTTTGGCGACTGAGACTCAAAACAGAGTGTTAATTTAATTTTTCATTGAATATAAACTCATTTAGTGCAAAATGTTCTAATTTATTAATTAGTATGATGGTGGGAAATTAAACAAGCAATGAATTATTATTAAAATACCTAATTAGTGTATATAAATGAATGAATTGGATAACATTTACCTACTAAAAAAGTTTTTGTACGACGTTCATTTAAGCAATAACCAATAGATTGTGATAATTATTGTTGAAATACGAATTGAATTAAAATAATATCAGCCACGATAAATTAACTACTTATGGTAACTATAAGTACTTATGTAAATAGACACACACATAAAATTATAATAAATATATGTGTGCGTGTGTATGTACATGCATATACTTATATACAGTTCAAAAATAAGTTTTTTTATTTAATTCGACTTAATCGACATGAAATTAAAAATTGGCTATTATTCAAGTATTTGTTTTAATTTATTACTATGAAACACATTTTAAGTGTTATTTATAAGTTCCTTACGTTAGTTCATATCGATATAATGATGTATTTATATGGTATTATATCTTCTCTATACCTAAATCCTCTTTAAATACAACAGTCATTGAGTTATACAGTATAAAGAATATCTAAGCATGTTTAATAGCTATACCTTTGTTAAATTACCATAATATCGGTTTGAGTAGCGGTACTGCTTCAGTTCAAAACATCAGAACTACGAGTATATTATTATAACCACGAAACAGACAATAGTTAATATATGTAATACCTAATATATATATATATATATATATATATATTTATAATTTATATAACAACTATTATGTACATCGTACATTAATTTTAAAAAAAAATTTTGATACAGTTTGTGTATCGTCACTGCTGGTATTTTCTTTTTTTCAACACATGTGGGTTACTAACTACGCAGTTTTTTCTAAACCATTTAATAGATTCCATCTGGTGGGATGAAAACGCAAGAAGTTATGCGTACGGTTTCCTTACTTACCGTACTCAAAATCTCACCCTTATTTAACAAAATCCTAACAACTCAAACAAAACAAAAAATATACAAAACATCCGTAATTCTGTATAACATATAATATATTTTATAATATAACTATACATAGTTATTCCGTTATAAATCTATAATATTGATTCACGTAATTTATATAATATGTAATAGACTAAGCAATTAGAATTTTCATGGCCAATCCCTATGTAATATCCAAGACTTAATTTAAGCTATATTAACCAAGCTAAGCTAGGTAGTTTTCAACAATTCTTAAAAAATTCAAAATACTAAAAAATCCCAAAACTCACTTCTGTTTAAATCGTATATTTGCACCTACGTAAATTTCTTAGTATGTCTTCTACTTTCTATAAAGGAATTTTAGATGATTCTATCTTTTACTCAAAATACTGATCACGCACACATAACAAATAAAAAATAAAATCATCGCTCCACTCAAAATCGAACGAAATACAAAGGTTCTTATAGTTATAATACTGTATAATATGTAGTAAAAAAACAAATGCACAAAAATGAATTGTTTAGTTATTATTTTACCATTACTATAAAATTAGATGTCATGTTAATGACTCGCTGCTGAGTATCTTAAAAAAGTTAATTAACATTCCTTACATTTATAAATAGCTTACAACAGTTAACAAATTCAATTCAAGCTATGTAAATACAAAGGTGTAAATAATAACGTATGCATTGTTTTTATTTAACCATACTATTTCACTTCTTAAAAGTTATTCGTTCATTTTTTTAAGGCACCAGTGAAAAAAATAAAATTCTCCGACGTTCATTGTGCACGACGTTTTTTAAAAAATTTTTCTAGTGCAACGCGATTTATTGTTTTTCGTGTACAATAGTATGTACTTAAATCGACTATAATAAAATAAAGTTTAATAAACCGAACAGTGATTATATCATCGTTTATAAGGATCATCATATTATTCATATCATACCGTAGGTAGGTGGAATTAAAAGGTCACCTAAATATGTCCATACATAATATATCTATGTACATAATATGCGCTCGCCGCTCAAACGTCTATTTCTTCACAATACCACGGTGAATCACTAATAGAAAGATCATTATTCCAGTAATTATTACCACGTTTGAACCGGTTTTAAATTAAATGCATAATGAAGCGTATTATTCAGCAGCAAATGTTTATTTATCAATTATTAATAATTTTTTGTTTATTTGTAGTTTTTTCTTACACTTTTTAAAATTTACCAAGAGAATTGCAAATATTTTCGAAAGAGCCTGCCATTTTTAATCGATGTATTATAAATAGTATAGCAGCGCCGGGTAATTTATTATACAGGCTTAAAAAACACATTCTCACTAAAGACCTTCAGGAAGATCCTTTCCATCCCTTTAAAATATACAACTATATAGATGTTTATTTATACATTAATATATTGTGTCCTGTATAATTGTTGCGTTTTACTCAAATGATAATCGCTCGTAATAAAAAATATAATTAACTTTTACAAACAATGAAATTTAAGTTGAATGTTTGTACAATTTCAAAAAATTTGACAAATCATTAATTAAAATAAATAGGTTATGTTATTTGTTTGAGTAAATATATATGTGAGTGTGTCTTATTTAACGTTAATGATTTTCGATCTAACTGTTGTATGAGTATATTTTGACATTCTATATTCTCTGTATTAAAGTATTTATCGAGACTTTCAAATTTGAAAAGCCTTCGCTGAATATACCAAAGTATAACTGCAAAGTACAGCCAGCAGTATACATTATTACGTATTGTGTGCGCTAGCTGCTGCTGTTGAAGTCCGAGTTATTAGTAAGTGAACATTGGTTATAGACTATAGACTCTATAGTATAACCTATTGGTAGGGGTTACCTACATTGGATACACCAAGATTTCGTTATTTAAAATTTGTTTAGGAATTTATCTCAGGTGCTTCGAAAATATAAACATTTACGATTTCTTACTGCCCAACAAAACGATTACGGTACACCACAAATCATTGGTATTGTTATAATAGGACGCGGGCTTGATATGCTACGACATAATGATGATGTTCGTCATTGGCGCCAAGTCTGAGTGTTTCATGAAACGTCGAAAACGATACTTAGTATTAACGGTACGTCGCCGTAATCCACTGTAGATACGTCATGACGGTGCATAATCGTAGTAGGTAGTAATAATAATAATTTTCATAATGACGATAAACAATAATTGCCGAGGGAAAATATACGGTTCAAAAACGCGGTGCAGGTTTATGGCGAAATAGTCGCACAACAGTTTCTATTTTTTAATTCAATTTTTTTTCGACATGCCGATTTCACGGTAATATTATAATTATACGGAGCGCGTGGCCCATGGACCGACGTAAATTTCCCACCGCCGTACAGTACATTCTCCTTTTGCCCCTACAACCACAAACTGGTATTTATTTTTGGTTTTCTTAGGAAATATCGTGGATAACCAACAGCAGTGCATTTACGGCACTGGTTTGCGCCCGAACGGGTCCCCGTGGGACAGGGGGGCACGTCGGATGTCGGGTTTGTACGTTGTTACGGAGGGAAAGGGCGTAGGTAGTGGAGATTCGTTCCACGGGAAAGTCCGAGAACCGTTGGGCACGCTGCGTCATCGCCGTCGAGAATCGAGATGAATGGAAAAAGATTTCATTCCGCGATGACAAATAACACGATTCTCCGATCTCGTCACTACTTATTACACCTGTTGCCGGCGTATTATCGTAGTCATCGTCGTGTTGTGATAACCGAGCGTTTCCCGTCTCCTCGACCCCTCCTACCCTGCTAGCTCCCACCACACCCGTCGAACGTTTTGATCGACCCCCACCCCGTCCGTCCCCACCAAACGAACTTCGACGGCAACCGGTTTAACTGATAAAAATAATATATATATTTATATTATATTATATTCCAAGCAGCCGGGACAACAGCATGGCCCGTATTACACTGACGGCTCACCAAGTACGTATGAAACGCTGCACACACCCCCTACTCCTCATCGGAGAACGCGTAGTTTCCTCTCAGTCACGCACCGCACACCGCAACGTCCGCAATAGTATTACATGCCCAACTACTATATTATATTATAATACGTACCGCGACCGCATTTTTTTCACATAATATATACCAGAGATACCAATAATATAATGGTAATATCATACATTTAGTACACCTACGTAGTAACAGTAGTAGTGGTAGTAGCAGTGCAATTTTTTTTTCGCATATTTAAATACCCTCGTGTGTGTGTGAATCATTCGCAGTATTAGACGTACGCATCACTCTCGCGACGAGTCTCCGTCACACGGCTTGCGTTTTTTTTCTTTTTCATTATAAAACGGTACAGTTTAGGTACACGTCACGCGTTCAAATATATCTATATATATATATGTATGTATAAACGGATACATAACGTTTACAATATATATTTTATTTCGCGAGTGCGGCCTGTACGCATACTATATATAGTATAAAGCTCTGGTTTCGGAGACTCGTTTAGATCACATCGCATTTGCAGTGCACCGCGATCGTTCCACGCGCGCCGGAACGATTCCATTTTTTCGATGGGATTTCGCAATCCGTACGTGTTGATACTGTCGGTCGATTACAAGTTGCGCGCCAAACTGATGCCACTGAGGTCTTGATATATATATAAATATATATACATACACTTCGCATACGAATATATATATTACACGATTCAGGGACTACATTGGAATTCAAGAGTAAAAACCGAAATCCATAAACTTCGACGACTCGAGTACTTACACATTGCTTTTTTTACTGTACACACATGGCTACACGGCACCAGTTTTACGTGTGATATTATGTGATAATATAATAAACGTGCGACCGTGTGTTTTTACAGACCGTGTCGAGTCATCATCGCGTTTGAACGTTATTGAACGCATACAACAACATAAACGAAGACAGATACAACACTTGGCAGAAAATGGCTTGGATCAAACGCGATCGCGGAGATAAAGCAATGCAGCAGATGACGTTCACGATCGTAAGTTTTTGAATCCTAAACACGGTTCCTATCATTGTTGTCGTTATTATTATTATTGTTGTTGTTATTATTGTTATTATTATTAATAATATTATCGTCATCGTCATTACGGGTTTAAACGTGTTGTGCACAATTAACCGACGTTTCTACGAGTTTCGCGCACTACCGCGTGTGTGGCTTTCAATTCGGTTTCTTAACCACTACGACGACGTAATAATTTTGTACTCGTCGTCGTCGTCGTCGTCGTCGTAGTCGCTGCTGCTAATTGATCGTACGAGAGCTGCAGCAGGACTCGCTGACCGCACGACGTGTGTGGAGGACGACGCGCGAGACGACGTCGGGTGTATTGCCAACCTAAATCGACGCCGTACCTATGGTATAAACACAATAACAACGAATAACGATGATAACGATAGTGTCGTACCATTTAATATTGTTAATTATTATTATTATTTTTATTATTATTATTCTTTACCTCGATTTGGCGCGATTGATAACGCGATATCGTGAAAAAAGAAAGAAAAAACATATATATATTATGTACATATAAAAAACGATATCGCGTCGTGCATGGTATGCGTTTGACGTGACTACGTGAGCGTACGCTACGACCATCTAATAGATATTATACAAATAAGGCGGACTCCGCGGCGAACGGCGATGCCTAAATCGCGGTGTGCAATGCAATGCAATGCGCCGCGGTCGGTGCGAACCGCGGAAATCCCGTTTAGCCCGTCGTCGCGTCCACTTTTCCGGTCGACTTTCCGCGCGCGGACACTGCGACAGGCGTTGGGCGGTTGGGCGCTCCCGAACGCGACGCGTACCGCCGCCGCTGCTGCTCCCGTCGCCTGTCGCCGTAAAAAACGATTATTAAATCGCCAACTTTGGCGGTACCTAAGACGCGATCGATTATTATCGCATTACACGCCACGAATTAAAACATTATTACGTTCGTTTAATATTATCTCGGACATAAATCGACAGACGCGTGAAAGACCTCTGCAGAACACATAATCGACAAATTGGTGCGCGCACATATGTAAAATAATAATAATAATTTGTATACGTATGTCGTGTGCGTGTGTGTGCCTGTGTGTGTGTATAAACGTTAAAAATGTCTCTAATCAGTACGTTAATTACCGGCCTCTATAAGATGCTAATGGACAATTTTTATGTCAGTCGAAACCTTTTATATACTCGTCGCAGACGTGTGCGTGTCGTGTCCGGTCCGATCGGTTTTTATACTCAAATATCATACAAAACGCTTTATTACGTACGAGTATAATATGACCGAGACACACGGAATATTATAATAATTATTATATTATTATTATTTTTTTTTTACTTCCTATATTCTATACATTCGTTCGATTATCTCGTTTTTTATAATATATATATATATATATATATATACATAATATACGTATAAAATATAAACGTATAAACTTGATATTATTATTATTATTATTATACATACCCGTTTGATATCGTTTCGATTGGTCATGAAACCATCATGCAAGCCACCGTCACGTCGTTAGAAAGTCAAAATACGTTTTTTCCTTCCGTCGTTTTTTCTGCACTCGGACTGCAGTCGGACTTACGCAAGTGTTCAGCGATATTATTTTCTTACATCGTAATATCTACCTGTTTAACATACCCTGCACAAACCGACACCGGAATCATAAAAATGGAAGTTGTGACACGCGGGGGTAAATAAATATCATACTATATATTATTATTGTTATTATTATGCTACACCCATCCTCGCTTATAATTTGTTAAATTTTTTAAATTTTTAAACGCATTCGGTTAAAACATTAATAGCGATATTTTTTTAAAGAAAGCGTTAATATGCACTTGATTAAAGAGTTTTGTCCTATCTAATATTTAAACTAGGATTATCACATAACGTCAGTATTGCTATTTACTGTACACATTTTCTAAATAGACATTTCAGTAAAATAATACGATATGTTGAACTTTACCTAAGTCTTTTTGAGATACGACGCTTATCTTCAGTTGTTTCCGGTCCACACGAATATAAATAAAAAGTGAATTTTGGACAATAATTCAGGGAACCTTTTTACTTTAACGAAATTTTCCTTAATGTATGTAAGTTAATAATTTATTCATCATTTGTTTAATATTGAATGTTTCTTTTTAATCTTTTGTTTCAAAATAATAATTTAAATTTATTAATTATAAATAATATTGTTATTCAGATAATATACAATGTACATAATAGCAATATCTACACCCATATTAATTATGGTATTGATTTATATATGCATATACAATGTACATAAATCAAACAATTTTTTTTTTTAGTTAATATAATTTATTTATGATAAACATTTATTTTAATTAACTCATATTATCAATTTCGTAACTTATATGATTTTTATAATAGTCATTCTCAGGTATGTGCTATTAATAAAACCTAAAGACATTAATTAATTGATTTTATAATGTTAATAGATAATTTATTTTTAAACGTTAATTAAACTATGTTTTTTAAAGCAAAAATATAATTATAACTTTATAAAAAAATTTCAAATTGATTAGGTTTTAACCCTAGAATTAAATACTTTTCATTAAAAAGAATCATATTAATACTCGCACATATTAAACACAATGCAATGAGAATGTATTATTTTTTTTTTCTTGCGTGAATTATGATTATAAAAATAATTACAATATATTTATGCTTTTAAATATAATTACATAACTCTACATCTGCTATGCACTATTTTTCAGTTATCGAATCTATTTTTCCAACTTTCCAAGTTATAATCTATAAATCTTTTTTTTACATATAATGTACAGATAATTGAATTATATACTATACACATTTCCAGCAAAAATGTTCATTGTTTTTTTGTTCTGAATTTTTATTAATAAAGTGTCGCAGATAAATAAAACGATAAAGATATAAAATATAGGTACTACATAGTATATTTATATGCATAATTTAATAATATATTCTAAGTTACGTCGATTTTCCTTGTTTGTATAATATACGCCCATAAATTTCCTTGCTATTAGCAAATCCATTTGTATTGTATACTCGTTAAAACATAATATGTCATCATTAACATGTTTCTGTACTCAATTCTATACATAACCGGGCGAAAATAAATAATATGAAATCGGTTGGTTTTGAAGGTTATACACACATTTTTGAAGCTAAATTAAAAACTGATTGCGTTTTATTGCAATTTACCGAAATTTATTTATAAAAGATGATTATTCTAGGGTATACTGTAATGATTTCATTTGAATTCAATATTTTATACGATACGTCATGCTTGTCAATGTATCATAATTTTTTTGTGTAATCTGTTTATACTGCATTTAATAATCAGAGTAATGTATGATATTTTTCTTTACATATTATTACAATTTTAAAACGGAAATCTATCCACAAACAATATTTATGCATACAATTCTCGCACATAACATTATAGAAGTAGGTACCTACTTATGATTTGTATAGGTTAGGTTACGGCATTAGCAAAATTTCATAAACAACATTTTCGCAAGCAAATAAAATAAGCACATAACCTACCTTGTATTTGTCTTACAGAAAAAAAATTTCATTAATTGTTATTGTAGTGACGAATATTTATTATTATTATTATTATTGATGTTTTTTGTGACATAAAAGTTTAGGATAATCTTTGCTTTTTTTTTTTTTTTTAAATCTTGGTACAATTTTCACGAAATTTACATTTAATATTTTCTTTATTTATTTTTATTCATATATACTGAATTTACTTAATTGCGGGCGTCGATATATATGTACATGTGTATAATTATATTTATACATTATTCCGGCCATTTATAAAAAATTGTATTCAATGGAAGTAATTATATAATCAAATCACAACCGGGGTTATAGGGACTAGATAACACAGCTTTCTATGCAAGACGTTATCGTCGTAGACCGAGAAATTGTACGATAATAAAATCCGACCTCTAACCACGTAAAATTTCGATCCCGCTCACAAACACGATACTGTATGCGCATACACTATGGTTTAGGGAGCGACGAAGCCACGAGAGAACAAAATTGCGCCGGAGCGTTTTGAATTTGAAACGAAATTCATCGAGCCGGCGTGGTCCAAGTCAAATCGAATGTTCCGTCGACCGTTCGCGTCTATACATAGTTACAAATCAAATTTCTGATAATTTCTGAAAATCGTTCACACAGATATGATAAAAATTATGAACTGTAATAACGTTCGGACACCGTGCAATCGCTCTGTATATAAACGACGCTAGCGTCTAGAAATAATAATAATATTGTTTATCTAGAACAAATGAATACATGTAAATGTATATAGATTGACATAATCATGACAAATTTGTAAAGACAATTCTTTATTTCATTATTATTATTATTATTATTATTATTATTTTTTAAATCCAGTGTGGTGTTTCGCGGAAATCACTAGACACTCTTTTCCGCGAATCTCGCGTAACAATACATAAATTCACATTATATTTTCTTCCCAAAACCGCTCGCGTGAGCGTCTAAGCAGCTAGTGCATAATTTACTCTGGTTTTAAATACGGTGCGGTATAAAACAGTGCTGTGCTTCGATATCGTTTTTTTTTTTTTTTCCAATTTTTTCCAATTTTTATTTATACGCGTATCATCGTCCTTGTCAACATCTGTCAAACGCTCAACTATGGATTGATACGTATGCGTTCCATTATAAATCACGCTATCGGTCGGATAATGACGTTTTTTCATTATATATGGCGTATAATCTATATCCGGATGCTTCTGGCACGTAAGGCTTATTAAAATTTAAGTTGATTCGCTCGCGGATTTATTGTAATTTTGTATTATTATTCTTTTATAATGATGTGTGTACTTACACGTTTTCTCTACTTGCGAAGGACGATTTGTGATGTATGTATCGCATATTTTGTAGAAAAAAAATGTGTGTGTTTACAGTTAAAAAAATACATTTCTGGCTTCTGTAGTTTATTTTAAAGGAAGATTTCACGGTTCAAGATAATTTTTTTAATTGTCTCGCTAATTAAAATTTCATTAGTAACTATTGTTGAACTTTTACTTTCAAAAACTATTTTTGGATTAGGATAATGTCAAGAAAAATACTTTTAAATACTCAACATTATTTTGCGGTGATAATTTATAATATTACTTATAAGTACAGTGATAAGATCGTGAATTTTTGCTAAAAAAACATTCAAAAACTACAGTCGTGGGATATTTGTGAATTGAATTATTTTATAATATAAATTAAACAAAGTAAAAAGTGACAATTATTCCTCAGTATTTTTATTATTTACTAACTATTATGTGTACCTACATTTTTAATATTTAAATATTAAGTTTCTTTTATCTTGAATAAATATACAATATGGCACTTCAGACATAGTATAGGTACACTCATTGTTTACATGCATAGACCTGAGTATAATATCGTGTGACTTAGGTCATTGTTTAAATAATTTATCAAATAATAAGGAAACTGTATATAATATATCTATATTCACTCGTATTTTTTAAAAATTATTTATGTTAGAATCTTATCGTTTATTCAAATTATATACTTACAAACATAAAACTTAAAATTTGCACATTTTTTTTCTTCATTATTTATGCATACATTTTTAGGCATACAAATTATACTGTGTTATTCTTGTTATGCTTTCGTGTCATTTTTTAAAAAAGAAACTGAAAACCGATAATTTATTGTTTTAAAAGTTATAGGTCAAATGCATATTGCATAGTGAACTTAAATTTAGCAGTTGCAATACAGTTAGCATTTATTTTGTATATGTTACATTCCTTGTTGGTAAGAAGAGTAAAATTTTTTACTAAACGTTTTGTATTCAATATTACTTATTACATTATGATTCAAATACAGTCATTTTTTACGTGTATTAAAAACATTAATTTAATTAGTATTGATATCACTTTTTTTGTTCCATAATATATCAATTACTATACATTTAATGGTCTATAATATAATGAATTATGAGTAATCAAAGTCAAAAACTGTTCTCAGGATTTGCACTATTATTTGATAACCTTAATGTAAAGTTATTAATAATATATACCCATTTTTATTTTTTAATACTTAATATTTAAAATGGCATTTAAAAATAAACCAAATCGAGTCTATTCATACCACATTCACTTTCCGTCTCAATCCATGTCCTAAGGTTATCCTTTACTCACAACAATTAAGTATTTTGTCTAAAATTAAATTACAGATCACCTTTAGCATATCATATCCACTTTAAGTGAATTTACTTGAATAGCAATTTCGAATTTAATAGGTATATAAAAAACAATATAAGTCAAAAATGAATATCCAAACCTAAAAACTTAATTACTTATTTACAAAGCATTATTCAATTATATTTTGACTACACTACTACAGTCTTTAACTTTGGGTTAAGTCAAAAAATCAAATCTTAGTGAAATTGTAGAACATTGATTTATGCTAAAATTCTTAACCATCCTAAGTTTTTAACGATATTTTCCAAACTGTTCTTAATTTAAATCCATGTGCAAAGAAGAAAAAAAATGTCATTACATATTAGGCTACCACTCTATCGCATAATCCTAATTTATATATATGCTAGCAATTATAGAAAATCCTCTTAGACGATCAAGTGAAACTGGTATCATGATCTATTAAACTAATATAATGTACAAAAATTAAAAAAATAATTGTTAATAAAATAATTTATATCATAGTTTATCATTAATGCCAGTAAGTCAATATGTCAATAAGTGTCATCATGAGAGGGGTACATGTTTTATAAAATTTTATGGGTTTATATTTTTCTGTTATCATATTATTATGCTTATTACGTATAACTTTGACTATGCGTATTGTATTTTCCCAAATAATAATTAAAAAAAAAAAAAAAAAAATTACTATTATTTTTTAACACGTATTATACATTGTGTAATTAGCAGACATTATCTATCGAATTTCATAAAATATACAAGTCATAAGTTTTTGATTTTAAAATCAAATATATATATCTGAAAATTTGTCTGATATACTGAAAATAGGTAGTAGGTACACGATTGTGATGAATTATGGGATGTTTTTTTTAACCTATTTAATATACTGGATTTCAAATTTGCGGTTATACGTATATAATTATTAATTTCTATAATTATTATAATTATTCTGAGACACGCTTGTTATTGCCTGAGAATATTTGTCTGCGTATTTTAAAAATCATTACTCGGCAAATTTATCAAGGCGTAGTGTTCTGTATGGGTAAACAATTTATTTACAATTTCTATTCATATCGAAAAACAATAATAATAATAATATATCATTATAATCTCGCGATAAAATATCTGATCGATCGCGACCCGTTTCGCGGGACAAATGAACAATGTAGGTACCTATACCTTGTGTGCTGCTTATACATACATACCTACACCTCCTTTGCTGCGTGCGACAACGTTGTTGTGACTGTTGTGACGCATTGAAATAATAATAATAATAATAATAATTAATAATAACGATATGTCGGCGGCACGAACGTTGTCGTATCGTACCTCCCGAATCGGCCCGACCCGCAGTCGTCCGGCGGGAGAAAATATCGTTGAACGGTGGCGATAAAAATCTCCAAATCTCCAAACACTGCAGAGACTCCGCTCACAGTATAGGTACACGGAGCGTGGTGTTCCGAGTTCTCGGATACGCAGATACGATATCTCGCACTCATATTGTTCCAAACGTTCGATTATACTTTAACGCTATTGCGACCGATAAGATCGTCGAAAACACGCGCGAAACCCCCCCAGTTACGTACCTATAACACGCGTATCGTAACGCGGCGTGCGCAGGTATATCATAACGTCGTCGTACTTGGACTGATTAAAACAATGCAGCCGTCTTATCGATGTATACCTCGCAAACCGTATACCGGGTGATCGTTTCGTCTGACGGCACTCCGCGCGTTACGCAATCCCGACCGACGCTGGTCGCCGGCCGGCGCAGAATCCTAGACAAAACCGGGGTTTGGCGACCGGATACGACCGGATACGCGCGAGCTCGGCACCCAAAATCACGACGACGTCGCGTGTCGTCCGACGTTTTGCTGTACCGGCAAACGCCTCTGAACCCCGTACCCGCGACCGGCTTTTCCAAACGCCGAGCGCCTCGAAACGGGATCACACTGTATTGTGTTGTATAACAGCAGCGGCGGCGGCGGCGGCGGCGGCGTCGTATATATTATTATTATTATTACGGCTCGTTCATGACACGAATTTTATTTTTCGCGCGACGAAACCCGTCACAATACCGCGGCGCCACTAATGCTGTCGCGTTTGTCTGTCTAGGACATGCCCATCAGCGAGGACCAGGTGGCCGAGCTGTACGGTGAAGGCGCCCGGATCCACAGCGTACACCACAGGTCCAGGCCGGAGCAGTCCGTGTTCGCGTCCACAATGTCGTCCAACGCCTCGGTGGACACGACGGTGGGCTCGACCGCGGCGCTCATACACAGCCACGCGGCCAAAGTCAAGAAGAAGAAGTACGCCTTCCTCAGGCAGGGCCACAGCGGCGGCACCGCCCAGCAGTCCGCTTCGGCCGCGGCCAACAACGGTTACGTGACCGGCCGGCACTGCCGGGACGCCGCCATACACAGCCAGAAGGAGCTGAACATCCGGCTGGCCACGCCCACGGTGCCGAACTTCATCGATCAGATACTCAAGAAGAAACAGGCCACCGAACAGGTGTCCGCCAAGCGTCTGAGCAGCGACGACGACGACGACGACGACGACGACTGCGACGACGACGACCGGGACGACGAGGAGGACGACGTATTCCTGCAGGACCTCAAGTCCGCCGCGAAAATCCGGACGTCGCAGAACACATACGTCCCACAGGTACGTCATTACTTTTAACGTTATTTGTAGGTCCGACGTTTCGTTTTTTACTTCTACCTTTATACTGCTACTACGGTATCGAGTCATCATCGGTGATGGGTGGTCACTGGTCACGTTATTCGATTTACGTTTTGACGACTGATACTGATTGTAGATATCAATATCGGTATAATGAATTGTTGTGGGATAAGAGAAACGGCCTTTCAACACAATTATGTCATGTTTCGTAACTTTCGTTGCGACTGCGTATTGTGATGTCAGTTTTTAAACCCGAACGTAATTATATAGTATTGAAGAGTCTTGCTTGAATTTTGCTCATGGGCAATTCGATCGCGTCTATATTTAGCTAATAACCGCGCAGTTTGCACGCATGCGTTAAAATTATAATAAGCGTATTTTAAAATGTACCTGTATGTTGTTACTCGTAACTATTACAGCGTAATCTCTAACTACATAACTGTAACTTGTAACCGAGTTACTGTTTATACCCAAAATCCGAGTTACTATTGTTCTAATTTTCGGTATCCGGTCACGTTATAATGATATCATGTATTTTCTGGTTGGTCAAGTCTGTACGATGTGTTCGCGGAGTCGATTTATATTTTATAAATTCCAGCCTGGATTTGGGATGTTTGATTTTTCCTACATTTGTTTCACATCCCCTACTCCGATTGGGCTACTCCGTCTTGTGTTTCACCCTGACCTAAATAAACGAACGAACGCCAGTCGTAATGGATGTAAGACGGGGAGCGACCTCGTTTCAACTACATCAATTAATATTCAAATATCTGATGTATAATCGATATACGCACAGTTTTCGTGTGAATCGCGTCTGTCAGTTACTTATATTAATATCAATCGCACTCGGTTGTCTATTTCACTGCTTTCCGTCGTTCGGTCCACTTGACCACGTTATGGCTCAACACTTTAACAGGACCATGTCATTAAGGGCCTGGCCCTCTATGTATGGTGATTACGAGTTTAACGATGACGATGACGACGACGACGAGGGAAAACATACGAAAGCCAATTATGAACAGGTAAAAAGCTAATAATAATAGTAGTTAGAGAAAAACACACGAGTAGGATGCCACGATAGGAGGTTATTTGCGCAATATTCCACGACACACATACTTTATAAAACACTTTATAATACTGCACGCTGGTCATGGTTCGTTATAATAATGTTATGAGTTGCTCGTCGCGTTCACGGTCAGTCTAACGAGGTCGATATGTTAATATATTCGTCTATATGAGCATCTGCAGTACGAAGGGATTTGACCACCAAAATGAGAACTAGAGAACTATTTATATTTTTATAGAGATCTGTTTGCAAAAATTTTTTTTTTCAAATTTTTATTACCCACAATAATTAAGAACCTTTGGAAACTGTTTTATGGAAAATATTTATGTATCAGACGTTACGAAAGAAAAATAAATATAAGAACTAAAATATCTGATTATTATTTCGATCGAACGGATAGTTAAATAATTTAAGTTACATTATAATATCTTGTATTTAAGTTAACTTTAATTTTTTCTCAAACATGAATTATTGATGAATTATTAACTATTTTTACAAAAATAATACCTATATCAATTTAACAGAATGTTAACGAAGAGGTAAAAAAAAATTATAAAATAAGTATTCGTAGATCTTTAGTTCTGTGTGATGAATGGTTTGATATTGTTCGCTCATTTAATTAATCTTACTCGCGAAATGGTTTTTAACAATGCGTATGTTATGAATAGCTATACAATAATATGTTTTACATCGATGCTGTGTTATTTAATGATATTGTGTAATTTATTTAAAAAAATTACTGTGCCTACAACCTTTTAGTACACGCCCATTATGTTTGATATTTTTTCTTCAATAATTATCTCTTTTAATGTATATTATATTAGTATATACATGCGAGAATCGTAATTGTTAATAATTAAAAAAAAAAAAAAAAAAAAATCACTAATTAAATCAGTTTAATTGTTGTCTATATGGTTAGACAAAAGAGTTTGTCTTAGAAAAAAGGACTGCTTATTAAAAGATATTACTTTTTAACGTTGTTTCTACTTTGTACTTGAAGATAAAACTAACAATTATTCGTTTACAATTTGGCAATGTCTATTGTGTATCATAGTAACGGGATCAATTTTTTAATTGCTGGTTAATATAATTTTATTGTAGTATAATAATAATCGTGAGATTTGTTTCGAATGCACTATTTTTTTTTTTCTATATTATAATTTCAAACAAGAATTTCACGATAAAATGAAATAGCGTTAGCTATTTAACATTTCCGTTGTTTCGTAATTCGTTGAAAACGATGATTGAAGCTTTAATGTTTTTTTTTTTTTTTGTTCATAATATAGAATATTAATATTGGAGCATTCTCACTTGATAAAATTTGATAACAATGTTTGTTTTTAGTATTCATCCTGTAGATGTTTTAATATTATATTTTATTACGTACTTTGTTTTTAAATACAAACCATCTTCGTTGTAATCAAAGTTTCGTTAGATTTACAACAATAATATAAATATAATATATTAGTAGGTACGATTATAAATATTTGACACAAAATGAAATCGTATTTCCTTGAATTGTTCGAAGTACGCAGCATAGTCGTACGTAGTCAACCGTTTGTTTGCCTACCTTTCAGGCGCGATGATTGCTCGAGTACACGCCTCGCATATTAAAACAAGCCATTGATGCGGGAAGGATTGTAGCCTTGGAATACACTTACTATAGATTAATCAATCATAAACATAGTGTGTCTATACAGTAATTATTGGAAAATTCGTTAATGTGTATATACGTTACTAGAGGTGTTTTATAGTTTAATATTATAATACAGTCGCATGATGGGAATGTAAATTTTCGTGGGTGACAAGGTTTGGATGATAGTATATACGTGATGTGAAAATGTTGGAATATAAATTAAAGAACTCTATAGTGGTTTATAATTAAGGAAAAAAAATGATAATGCCATACACGTAAACACGCTCACATAATATAAAGAAATTTGAGCCAAAGGTCGACCGGCAGACAACATCAATTGGTCGGACTATCAATACGCCAGTAAACGTGCTAAACATGTATACACATTGTCGCATATTGCAGTTGAAGCCTACAGTTGTAGAGGGATCGACCTTGATCTTATAATTGACCCTTTGCCGGTAGGTAATTCAAAAAATAAGACCATTTTTTCTTTTTTCGTTCGCCATCAAAGTAAATAATATGTTTTTCTCAAATAATAATGATATAATCTATATTAATTGATAGATATTAGATATTCCATAATATGTACGCTGCTTTTATAATTGATCAATGTTTTTCAAAAACGCCATACGTAGATATAGTATGTAACTTGAACAATAAAATTGTTTTGTTCCTATGCTGTTGAAAAACAATAAACAAAAACAGCAATTAAATTCTTGTAAAAAATAATTTAAAGATTAAATTGTTTTATTATGTCTGTAGTCTTGTTTTTTTTGAAAATAATCTTTTAGAAATAAGTAGGTGTCTAATAATATATCTCCGTATCTAAACTATTATTCAGGAGTCACCGATTAATGTTTTCGCGGAGTGCCACGTTAGGAATTCATTTAGTTTTTTTATGTTTTTATAAAATTCAATTTATATATTAAAACAAAGAAAGTAAAGGCTAGAAACCTAACCTTATCCAAGGAAAAATAAAAAATGTATTTCAACTAATGAAAACCATATTAAAAGATAGGTTTCCTGTTGGTGAGCCAAATAAAGTTCGTGACATTTGGTGACCTCTGCTATATTTTATTTAGTGTCTCGTTGTCTCGTTTATTAGCACTGTTAAAAAAAAAAAATAATACTTTGTCGAGGAAAAACTAAATCATTGAAATCTTTTCGAATTTTCATTGGTTTGATACTTTGATAATCATATATATATATATACATTGTAATACTCAGATTGCATTATTGTTGACGCTAAATATCTTATTTTTTTATTGTTGATTAAGTAACAGTTTTCAGTAATTTTATTATTTTGCGCGATAACGATAATCAACTGAAGGGTGTAACATGATATTCAATATCATTGAAGAAATAATTTTTTTTTTTAAATTGTATATTGATCATGTTTTAAACTACATGACGATATACGACAAATATTTATGTGTTGTTACTCCTGACACGTATCTAATAAATTTAAACAAAGGAAAAAAAACTAAATGAAAAAATATCGTAAAAATGTGCTCAAGATTTAATCATTGAACTATTTTTGTAATAAACAATTAATTTTGATTATTCGTTTCGGTCATTCATAACTCATTTATAGTCACTTCTTCGATACAAATTATGAATAATATATATATAATTTTAAATATTTAACCTTTATATATATATACTTCATGTTTCACGAATTGCGATTGCATCGATACTCATTTATATATAATATATAATATATATATTATAATGTAAATATTAAATTAATATGTATTTAAATCAACCATATTTGTTCGAAATAAATATGCAGTGGATAGTTTAAAAAATACGTTTGCGTACTATTACTATAAATTATAATTATATCATATGTTAACTCAAAAAAAAGAAAAAGAAATTTGAAACAATTTAATGAGAACTTTGGTGTGAAAATCAAGGCATACCGATGACCGTGTGCTAATTTAAATTCGTATATATATAGTAAAATATTGGTGATCAACAATTGCGTCTACATGCCGCAATAAAACATAATATTATTATGCATATATTTTTTAATAACTTTATTATTATACTTGTTGTGATAAAGACTAGCATGATATCCCTTTAAAATCGTAATGTTTTAATGTAAACGCGTATTACAATAATTTATTTACTAATGTTTTGATACTGTATACACATGAGATGTTACATATGTATTTAGTATTTTCGTTCCCTGGTGCTATTTTTTATTTATTTATTTATTTTTTTTTTTGACACTCCTCCTGTTAAATGTAAAATTTATTTGACAATAACAATTAAATG